AGTTTGTCACTCTTTCTTCCTAGTCTGTCTTTGTCTGGAAGCTCATCTGAAATCTGTCCACCATGGGTGACCCTGCTGGTATTTAAAACACCAGTGGCATAGCTTCCAGAATCACAGCAACTCACAAGCCACCACAGTAGGACAAACTGACACATGAGTGGTGGATATCTATATGTATATCTTTATATATATATATATAAATTAAGTATGTGATAATGTTGTCACCACTGGACTACTAACCTTAATCTCAAGGTTGGTGGTTCAAACCCACTAGCCACTCATTGGAACCCCTATACAGGGTTCACTATGAGCCGAAACAGACTTGACAGCACTTAACAACAACAACTATAACGTATATGACCGAACACTACTTCCATCAAGATAGCAGACTAGGTAAATGCACAACAAAGCTATGAGAGACCAAATGAAACAGACACAGATGAAAATTCAGGAAGACTGAACGTCAGAGGAAAGAAGCAGATTAAGAACTCATTGAAAGGAGAAGCTCATTAGGGAAGCAAGAGAGGGAGACTGACAGGTGTGGCATGACCATCTTGTGAGCAGCTTTGGCAACCAAGGGAGGAAGCCTGGCAGAGCAGAGTTACACAGGAGATGGGAAAGGTGCAACTCCTTTTCCCCCACAGTCCCCTGGTGACCGAAGGGGTGGCCAAGTCCCACCCTCATCCACCCTCAAGGTAGATACTGCTCTCTGGGAGTTCAAAGCCATGAGGTTGGGAGTACCAAGCTAATGGAGGTGGTGGTTGCTGGGCAACTGGCGTGCTGTTTTAGTGCATGGTTTCAGGTGGGCTCAGCTCCAGACGTACAAAACCCGCAAAGCTACCAGAACAGCATTTAACCAGTCACCAGCCCCCAGCTTCCCGGTGGTCTGACAGACACTGAAACCAGCTCCATCAAGAGCCTCCACAAACTACTTCCTGATTCAGTGCACTGAACACAGATAAGGCTGATAGGAACTCCATCTAGGGCCAGGACCTCTACTGTCACCTCCTTCCCACACCCAACTGTGTGTTGCAAGAGACTTCCAAAATTTTCTCCTCTCAGGCTTGCAGGAGACTTTCAAAATTTTCTCCTCTCAGGGTCCAACAGCTGCACTGCGTTGTTTTGTTTTTCAGGGTTGGTTTTTTTCATTGCATTGTTTATGTTTGTTTATTCTTTCTCCTCTTTCTACTTCTCTTTCCATTCCCTTGAATTTTGTCTTTTCTATTTTTGCTTTTCCTTCTTTTCTTCTGCTTCTCATTTCTCCTCTTTTTTTCTCTTTTAATCTTTCTTTACTACCCTCTCTTTCTCTTTTCATCTTCCCTCCCCATGATTTTTCTAATTATTTTTACTTCTTTTATTTTCTCTCTTATTTTTCACTTCTATAGCTCTTTTTCCCTATTCATCTTTAGTCTTTATACTTATTACATTCTTTTTTTCTGATGGCTGCCTATTTTTATTTTTATTTTCTCTTTTTATTATTGGTTCCTTGTTTGTTTATTCTGCTTTATTTTCTTGCATGTGTGGGTGAAAAGGGTTTTTTCTTTCATTACCAACAGGATAAAGCAACTGTGCCCATACAATCCGGCCACAACCACACTCTCTTTAGCTCCACCCACTGATAAAGAGCCAATACCAGCTACTAAACCACTTGATCAATGATAGACAGCAGCCAACACCAGCCAAACCCACTCTAAACTGAGGGGCATGAACGGCAAACACACTTCAATTCTCTAACCACACCCACAGGAGCCTAAGAACAAATCAACATACAATCATCCATTAAATACAAATATGACAATCCCACAATACATTTCTGAAGAATACACGATAATGGAACTAATTGAAAAAGAATTCAAAAGAATGATATTTGAGTACCATCAAAGGATTGACAGAAATATTGAGGAAAATAAGGAGAACACAGAAAAAACTTAAGAAGAATTCAGGAAAATACTACAAAAACAAACAGACAAATTAATGCAAATTTTGAAACAATACAAAATCTGCAATTAGAAATCCAGAAGATTAGTTAGTTCTAAGATTTCAGAAATACATTGAAAGAGCAAATGAGTAGATGTGAAGAAATGGAAGCCAGAATTAGTGCACTTGTAGAGAAATCTCTCAGTATGCTAGAAGAACAATCAGGAAAAAAAAAGAATGAAAAAAAATCCAAAGAAAGCTTAAGAGTTCTGTAAGACACCATGAAGAGGAACAACTTACAGGTGATCAGAATTCCAGAATAGGAAGAGACAATGAAAAGCACAGAGAAAACTGTCAAAGTGTCCTTGGAAGAAAACTTCCCTAACATCATGAAGGACAAGATAAGCATACAGTAGGCTGAGCAAACTCCAAACAGAATGGGTCTCAAAAGAAAATCACCAAAATCAAGCTTTCCAAAACCAAAGATAAGGAAAAAAATCCTGAGAGCAGCAAGGGAAAAACAAAAAGTTACTACAAAGGAGAACCAATAAGACTAAGCTCTGATTTCTCAGCAGAAACCATCTAGACGAGAAGGCAATGGGATGACATGTACAAAACAGTGAAAGAAAAAAGTGCCGACCAAGAACCATATACCCAGCAAAGCTGTTCCTCAAATACCACAGTGAAATTAGGATGTTTCCTGATAAAAAGAAATTAAAGGAATTTATAATGATCAGACCAAATTTATAAAAATGCTAAAGGTTGTTCTTTGGGTTGAGAACCAAAAACAGACAACTAAGATTACCATACACAACAACAACACCCAAAACTCAATCCAGATATGGTTGTTGTTGTTGTTGTTGTTAAGTGCCAACAAGTCAGTTCTGACCCATAGCGACCTTGAGTAGAGTTTTTATTTAAAGTGAGACAAACCTACAAGACTGAAAATAGAGAACAAAGATATCAATATATAGTGAAGTCAACTACACAGCAAAAAAGAAAGAATAGTGTAGAAACAGAACTTCCAAATGTTAAGGAAGTCAAGTAGATTTCCATATAAAACAGACTGTTGAAAATAGGGGGAAATTTTAATAAATTACAGGGTAACCTTTAATATGCTCTGAAAATTCATACACCTTTCTGCTCCCATAAATATTTACAGTCTTGGAAACCCTGTACAGGTCTCGCTATGAGTCAGAAGTGACTCCACGGCACATAACCACCAGCACCACACATCAAAAAAAAAAAAAAGAAAAAGAAAACCCACAAACAAAATGAAGACAGCACAGAAAATTCTGTGGAACAAAGAAACCAGTGGCACCACCAAAACCCAC